TAGCCAGTGTACAAGTTCCTGGCCTCAGTACAGTGGTAACTGGCTGAAATATACTAGATAATCTACTCATCCCTTCTGGCCTTAAGATTTATGAATCTGAAATACTGAAAACCTCAATGTCAGTGACTAGACTTCACCTTGTGAGATCAGGCTGGATAAACTGTGGTTTTTCTAGTTTGGCTCTTTTGAACACTTGAAATACTTTGGCTCTGTTGACATTTTGGTTGGGTACAAGGATATGGGGAGAGTTTCTTACCTTTTATAAATGTGGCGACAATTAACTAAACAGAATTTGATTTAGAAAGTGACAAGCCATTTTAATGAACACATGAAACTGACAAGCATCAAGTAGTAAATGTGGCTGAACCATTAAGTAATAGTGACTGCTATTTAAATCCAGCATTGTCTATGGGAGGGATTATACTAAACACTAGCACAGTGCCATTAAACTGCAGTACATCCTACTCTTGACACGTCTGGAGTTTTCCCTAAATCTTTGGACATGGGAGTCATAAGATTTTTTAAAAGCTAGGAAAAAAAAGTAGTCTGGTTTTCGAAAGTGCAGAGCATCTAGTTGGTCCCAATGCAGTTATTTAGATGCCTCAGTCGCACCTAACTTCAGCCATTTTTGAAGTGTTGACTTGAAAAGATTGGTTCAAGAGGAGACAAGTACATGATCCTGTCATCATATAAGACAGCCAATAGAATTCGAAGGCCACACATTTGAAAACAGTTTAATGAAAAATAAAGGGAATTGTTTTTGCACACATCATCAGTCTGTTTTGTTATTTTAGCTTGAGTCAGATTCAGCCACCCTTCCTCAAGCTGAATAGCATCATACATCACATGCAGTCCTGTTGATTTCAGTGCATATGTAACTGCCACCAGGCCGGTTTGAAGCTGGGCCCTCTGGAGCTGAGTATAGGAGCTTCAACCCTCTGAGCTAAAAGTCAGCTGGCTCCCAGCCCATGCTGTAGAGGTCTCTTGAGCTTAACTGTTGCTGTGGTCTAGGTACCACTTGCATTGCACAGTAACCACACTAGGGCTATGTCTGCACTGGTGCGATTTTGCGCCAGAGATATGCAAATGAGGCGAAGCAGGGAATATTGATCCTCATTTGCATATCTAATGAGCTGCCATTTTTGTGGAAGAGGCTCTTGCGCTAGAAGGAGCTGTCTACACTGCCCCTTGTTGTGCAAGAAAAACCCTCTTGCGCAATGCTGTTATTCCTAAATATAATCAGCGTAGTGGCATTGCGCAAGAGGGTTTTTCTTGCACAACAAGGGGCAGTGTAGACAGCTCCTTCTAGCGCAAGAGCCTCTTCCACAAAAATGGCAGCTCATTAGATATGCAAATGAGGATCAATATTCCCTGCTTCGCCTCATTTGCATATCTCTGGCGCAAAATCGCACCAGTTACTTGTGGCATAAAGATGCACTCATCCTGACTGAGAGTAACAAAATCTTGGCATTTGCCATCATAAAGCATGTAGCTGTTTAAATTAGGTGTCTGAGAACAGGTCAGCTAATACTAATTTCTGAACTTTTTATGCATAAGTTTGCAAGATGTTTAGGAATGCAAGCTATGGCACTACATATTATAGTTCTGTGTATTCCAAAAACTTTTGCAAATCATTCAACAAAATGTTATCATAGTAATGTTAAACTTTATTAGCAACTAGGGGCATTTCTACATGGGGACATTCAAGGAAAGTTAATTAAAATCAACCAAAGATGTGAATTTAAAGTGGCTTAGACTGTCTACACTAGCACTTTCATGTCTACACCACTGACTGGCATATAATTGACAAACAGAAATGCCAGTATGGATAATGTGATGACAGTGGGAGATGCTCTGCTGCTGACCTAGCTTCTGCCACTTTTGGGGGGTTAATTATGCCAATGGGAGAGCTCTCATCCACCAACATAGAGCAGCTTTACGGGAGACTTTACAACAGCACAGCTACAGTGGGCCAGCGTTGCCCCTATAAGGTCTTTAAATCCCCGTGTGGACACTCTCATCCAGAATTAAAGTGACCTCAATTACGTTTGTCTTAATTAACTCTCCACGGTTAATGTAGTTTAGCTAATCCATTTTTAATTCATGCCTTTAGTTAATTTGGATTAATTTTCCTGAGTGACATTGTTTAGACAAACCCTAAGATTCTAAAATATAATTACATGGTCTCTCAGATATGCAGCCTGTGCTGAAATTATCCTCTCTGCAGCTTAATCTGGGTTAAAGGGAGAATTTAAATGTCTCTGCTAAACTATTTTTATTATGATGCAAGCCATGCTGGAACTGTATAGCTCCACTTTTAGAGATGGTAAATGTACTTGACATCAGTTCTTGTCTTCTAAAAAAATTTTCTTTAGTTTACCCTAATTTACTTCAAAGTATTCCTCAATCTATTATGGCCTATTATGTAATCAGAAGAGCATGATTTGTTGATGCTTTTGATCCAAACTACCAACACCCAAGCACATGTATATAACTTTACTCAGGGGAGTCTAATTTAAACCGCCACCTACTTGAAGTCAAGTTACACCCAGATTCAAGTGTTTTCAGGGCTGAGCTCTTAAACTACATTTTCCAACTCTCCAGATGCATTTTCCTTACCACGGATTGCTAAAAGGTATAGAATCTATAGGATATAGTCATTATTTCCTTTTCATTCCCATTTACACACATACCTGGTCTGACCTTGCTTTGTTGATGTATGTAAAACTGCCATTGAGGTTACATTGCAGTTAAAAGAGAATAAGAAATGGGATGAAAATGCTCATGTTACGAAACTTCACTGTAAAACTTTCCCATTCTGGACCAGGATTGCAGGACTGCAATATATGCTGTTTTCTAATACACTATAACCTCCGTACTCTGGGTGTCCCTAATTCAGGATCCCCTGCGGTATGGTGTTTGGCAGGCAGAGGCAGAAGTGGTTCTGCATGCTGCTGCTTTCCCTCCTCTCCTGGGGGAATAATATCACAGGAACATACTCTGGTGGAGGCTTTTCCTCGCAACTCCCGGGGGGAGAGTGTGTGTGTGTGTGTGTGTACACACACGCCTGGGAGTGGCAGGGGATGCGGAGAGCCAGGTAAATGCCCTATCCCTAACTCCTTATTCCCTCCCTGTCTTGGCAAAATGGCAATTGTGATCAGATGATGGATTTATTGATTGATTGGTACTGCAGTTTTGTGTACAGTACTGTGAAAACGCTGGCTGTGTATGGAGGAGGGTAAGTCAGAAATAGAACAGAGAGAGTGAGATGACATTTAAGAAATAAAGCCCAGCTGGGTGACTTCAACAAGCTGAGAAAAGTTATCTCACAGTTTTATGCATTTCTGCTTTGCTTCCAAGCCTGTAAAATGCACAGATTCTGATGTAATTATAACCTCAATAACTCTTGTGTAAGATTTCCGGGGCGGGGGGGCTGTTATACATGGTTTTTTACTCATTTGGCTCAGTAGGAATCTCAGAACTCTTCTTTTGGGTTTGGTAGAGCCTGAGGACTATCCCAGTCCTTTCAAAGGGCATTGTCTACACCTCACAGCCAGGTCATTCGTGTTCTGCCTCATTCTGAGAGTGTTATGCAGTTTGTTTGCCAATTGAAAGAAGTAAGCGTGTTCTACTCTGATGGGCTACATCTAGACTGCAAGACTTTTTTGAAAGAGGCTTTTTTCGAAAGATATTTTCAAAAAAGCCTCTTTCAAAAAAGAGCGTCTAGACTACAAACCAGTACTTTTGAAAACGCACCGTTTGCATTACGTAGCACGTTTTTTTGAAAGAGCATTCTCAAAAAAAGGCGTTCTTCCTCGTAAAACGAGGTTTTTCACGGTAGAAAAAACTGCTGAGTACTTTTTGTTTACTTTCGAAAGAACGTGACAGCAGTCCAAATGCAGGGAAGTTTTTTCAAAAAAAGGCCCCTTTTTTCGAAAAAACCCTGTAGTCTAGACACACCCATACTATTTACAATCAAGAGTGTGTCTCCCCTTGGCAGCACTAATCATGGGCTCTTAGGAACTGCAGTTGTTAATCCGAAGGTGTTGTTTCTTAGTACCGGGAGTACAGCAAGTGCCTCTAGAAGGGTAAACACAGCTGTACAGTGGACACGCATGTTGTCATGACATCCATGCTATCTTGTTTTCTTCCATATACAAGATACCTCACAGCCCTTCAATCACAGCTTACAATTCCACAAAATGTTTCTGACTTTAAGGGTACGTCTAGACTACATGCCTCTGTCGCCAGAGGCATGTAGATTAGGCTACCCGACAGAGTAAAATGAAGCGGCGATTTAAATAATCGCCGCTTCATTTAACTTTACATGGCTGCCGCGTTGAGCCGACAAACAGCTGATCAGCTGTTTGTCGGCTCAACGCGGCAGCCATGTAAAGTTAAATGAAGCGGCGATTATTTAAATCGCCGCTTCATTTTACTCTGTCGGGTAGCCTAATCTACATGCCTCTGGCGACAGAGGCATGTAGTCTAGACGTACCCTAAGTTAAAATGGTTATGGACTAAGTCCTTGGCCCTACAGGCTGCTGAGTCTTGCTGGATGGAAAACAGTGCAGCAGCAAAGTGCTAGCACTCGGCTGCAGCCCTGTGCTTGGGCAAAAACACTTCTGTACAGGTCTGAGAAATTAATTCAGTGCTCACCAGTGCAAACTGACTTGAGCACCAACCCTCTGGTCTGTAGTACCTGCTCTCTTCTCCGCTTCCTTCACCTTGGAGAGTGGATAACAAAGGACCACACTGAGCAGCTCTAGATACTCATGCACGAGACACAAGTCTTGGGGATGGATTCCAGGCTGAAATCACTGGCAGTCTTTTCATTGCCTGCAGTGGGCTTTGAATCAGACCCATAGATAATCCTGCCTGTGTTCATCACTACTTTCTCTTCACCCTGTTCAACAGAGTTCTAATTATCTAGTTATTTTCAGGACACTATTTTCTTATCTCAATACCAATTCAAGGGCTCTTTAAACCTTTTCTCTCAGCGAGAAGGATGTCGCATATGGAAGATGCACATGATGAAGGGAACGGACGGGCTGGGCATCCAGATTACAGGAGGAAGAGGTTCAAAGCGATCCCCTCATGGCATTGTTGTTGCGCATGTTGAGGAAGGAGGCTCTGCTCACAGGTAATGTTATGCTTGTTCCTTCACAAGGCGGTGCAGGTTTGATTGATCTGTTTATGGCACTTTAGCAGAAGTCAAAAAAGGGCTTTCATAAAAACACTTATTTACATTGGGACAGCTCTTGGACTTATAAAATGACAAATATTAGAAGCATTTTAGATCATATTGAGTCATGCTTTATTAATTTTTCTGCATGCTTAATCTAAAATTTTTTACACAGATTGACTGTATGAACCCTTACTTAGACTCAGAATGTTTCCCCCTTTTTTTCATATAGGGATGGTAGATTGACGTCTGGTGACGAGCTCCTAATGATCAATGGTCAGTCTTTGGTTGGACTCTCCCATCAAGAAGCTGTGGCTATTCTGAGATCTGCTACCGGTCTAGTGGAGCTTGCGGTTGCTAGCAGGGTAAGTAACTTTGTATCTCATTCTCTTTATTGTTGGAAGAGTGAGTGTGAGTGTGAGAGAGAGAATATACCAAACATAAACAAGGTCATATTTTCAATAATCTGGCTGCGTGCATTTGGGCATCTAATTTTCATGCACAGATATAAAAATTGCACATGCACAATAAATCCATGGCAAATAAACAGTGTATACGAGACAGCTCATTTACTTGTACAATCCTAGCACATACCTATGCATTTCTCTGTACATTTCTGACAAACAGCATAATCATAAAATGTGTAGCCTACAGAATAAAGCAGCTTCTTTAAAGTCTCACTCAGACGGTGCTTGGTCCTGCCATGAGTACCTGGGACTAGACTTGAAGACCTCTTATAGTACTGAAAGGGACCTCGATTCTAGGGTATCCTTCATATTTCTATGTACTTCTGTAGTATTTAAGTGCCTGAAGTCTCTAGGTGTTCTGTATGTTTGCATGTTTTGTTTATGATAGTGGCTTGAAATAAAATGTTGCCGTTAATATGATGTGACAGTTCATGCAAATAAAAAAATTAAACTAATTTATTAATAGAGCATAGTCTTTCTTCGTCGTAGGAGAGATTAGAGATGTGGATCATCATGTATGCTGAGCATTAAACATATGCCAAAATGTGGTGGTCACTGTTCTTCTCATCTAGCTGATTCTTTAAGTAGGCAGGATATAGATTTGAATTGTACATACAGTAGAGAGGCTTAATCTTTTCTGATGTTCTTTTGTAACTCTTTCTAGTGCCACTTATCAAGAAGAGAAATTGTCCCAGGGCTTTCAAGTAAAAAGAACCAAGATGCATGAACTTAAAACTTGTATAGTATTTTAATTACACATTGAAGAGGATCAGAATCCTTTGTCAGGATTACAGTTAACTCCACCAATTTTTACGTTGAAGATAACATATTTTGAATAGATGCAGACATATTGGCATTTCAGGTAGACTATTAGGCTGTCTTCCAAAGATGGCATATCAGCCTACATGAATTCCTTCTTAAAATTCCTTTTCCACTTGTGCCACAATTACATCTATACAATCAACAGGAATGTTTGCAACATAAAACAGTCTGAGTTCTAGCCAGACTTGGTGTCCGCACAGTCTCTATAGATTCAGTTTTCACATTCCTGGGAAGAGGATTTGCTAGCCTGAATAATGAAAAATATAAATCTTTTCTTTGTTTGGTATAGTAGTCCCTTCATATTTGAGGATCAGATTTCTAATCGACTCAAGAGAAGAAATAAATTAAGTGCAGTGGGCTCTGTGAGATCCCTTTGGACATTAGTTTGTGTGAAAAAAAGGCTACACAAGCCCTGGAGTTTTCTTGACAGAGATACAGTAGAATGATAGCCTGACTTTCCCCTGCCCTGTATGATGTGGTGTTATTTGCATGGGAAAGTGTGCAAGAGAGTGAAAAGCCAAGGCCTGAATGTTCCAGGTTCTGGACTGAGTTGAACTGAAAAGATTGTGAGAGGAATTTTCATATCACCACTGTACATATGTGGTGTAAATGTGTGTATTTGTGTATATATTTCTATGAGCATGTTATAATCTGCCTCCTGATGTCTGAATTCTACAAAACTCATGAAACTTGTCTGTAAGCAAAAGTTACTCAATTTAACAATGGTGATATAATTAAAGTGGTAAAATGTGTGGCAGCATTTATACCAGCAGAGCTGCTTCCTGGATGGGAAGGGGAATTAATAATACTAGTATAAAGTACATTTGTATGGTATAACTGTGTCCACATTGGAAGCTATTTGGGTAAAAACACAAGCAAGCAACCAAGAAAACCTGAAAACAACAACAAAATACAGCTCAAAATACCCTTAAGTAAAGTAGCTGCCTGGGCACAGAAATTGTGTGTAAACAGTCACGCATAGGCCATGTCATGTCTACCAGTGCTTTTCAAACTATGGATTGTGGGTCTTGGAATGTCAGGCACTGGGTCTCATTGCTGCCGGGTGGTAAGGTGGCCAGTGGGGGTAGTAAGGCAGACTTCTTCCCTGTCCTGGCACCACAAACTGTGCTGCACCCCAGAAGTGGCCAGAAACAGGCCTGGTTGCTAGGTGTGGGGATGAGAGGAGGGGGGAGGGAGAAGGCACAGGGCTCTGTACACTGCCCCTGCCCTAGTTCTGCACTCCCATTGGCTGGGAACCTGCTGCTAGCTGCTTCTGGGGCATAGCATGGTCTGTGGTGCTAGGAGAAGCAGAAAACCTGCCTTAACATCCCCACTGCACTGCTGACTGAGAGCCCTTCTGACTCCTGCCCCAGCCATGACTCCCCCTCTCAAAGCAGGAGCCTACTCTTATACCCCAAAGCTCTCATCTTCATCTGCACCCCGGAGCCCACGCTCTAGTCAAAATATGTTTGGTTGTGGGCATCAACAATTTTGTTAAACTAAGTCAAAAAGAGAAGAAAAGTTTGAAAAACTTTGGCCTAGAATACTCCTTGATCTGTTTTTTTCCATTTTTTGAATGACATGGACTAGTCCATTGTGTAATGACTAGGTCTGTGTAAACACAAAATTAAGTGGAACTCTGTTTTTATTTTCCCTCCATGTTCATTGGAAGGTTCACTGAGCTTCTTGAACCTTCAGAATGAATCAGGGAATGCGACCAGGAAACTTTAATTTTTACAATTGAAACTTGAAATTTCAGCTCATTGAAATATATAATTGGATTACATTGATAAAATGAGTAATTTGCTTAAGTTTTTATTAGGAGAATAAGTCTACTCTAGCAGCGCTTCAATAAGTATTTGACTGGTACACTGAACAATACATACTCTGCTTTTTATTTTGTGCCCTGTAGGAAGGGACTGAAGAGGAGTCTCTGAAGTATCCATCTACAAGTTTGCCTGACTTACTTAGCACCTGTTCAGTCCAAGATGCTGCCTCTTGCACTGATAACAAAGAGAATGAAGAGCCAGAGGATGAAGAAGCCAAAGGAGTGAGCGCATCTCCTGAAGCACAGGTTGCTGTAAGTGTGCCTTTGGTAATCTTTTTACTTCATTTGATTTTGATCTGTAGTAATGCATGTGCTCCTACAGCTGAAAATGTAACCTTTCGTCTGTGTAAAAAATCCTAATTAAACTAGTGCTTCTTTTATGGCAAAGATGGTCTACAGAAAACTAAATGGTGTGCTTGACTTATGATCATGATCTCTTTGTATTTCTGTGTTGCAGGACTGGGGAATTAATAACAGGACTGTGCAAAATAGCACTGTAATTTTTTATGTCCATTAGTTACACATGAGTACAAAGGTGTTTTTCTGTAGTTAAACTATGGTCCATTCACTTTAAGTGGAACCTGAGAGAGATCTATCGAAATGGCTGGTCTGTGGTATGTTTGTTTCCGTTTTTGTATAACCAAACTCTTGACACTCAGTGTGGTCAGTGACCTTCACTTCAGTCAGGGCTACACTAAAAGGGAAGATCAAATCAAGATACCCAACTCCAGCTACGTTCATTACTTTCAATAGCACTGCGAAATGTAATTGCAAACCATAAACCTATGCATGGAGGATTCATGAGCAGGTGAAGTAGTGTTGTTCCTGTAATTTTCTAGGCACCTGAAAGTTAGGCCATGTTTTCTCTCCAGTTAAGACCTTGATTTGAGTTTCCCACCATCCCATAGTGGGAGTCTGATGGGAACAGAGGCTCCTGTTGGCTTCTCTTACCTCTTCACAAGAGCAGGAGTACTGGCTGCCTATGGTAGTGCTCTCTGGGTTTGATTTGGCTGGTCTTAACTGGAGTGAAGACATGGCCTAACTTTCAGATGCCTAGAAAGTCACAGGAACAACACTACTTCCCCTGCTCATGAATCCTCCATGCACAGGTTAATGGTTTGCAATTACATTTCACAGTGCTATTGAAAGTTCTATTTCCCTTCTCTTGTTACAGCGTGAGAGACTCTCAAACATGCTACAGGAAGTTGACTGTGGGAACAGTGAAACATATCTTGCAAATGAGCCAAGTAAACAAACCAGGAAAAATAGTGAAATATATGTGGGTTTTTTTTCTACTATCATTATAGTAGCCAAATGTATAAAACTGGTCCATCAGAGTTATGATTGTTAAGTTAATGGTGTTGTGTAGGGCCACATCCTGTTATGTTCAGGGCAAGTAAGAAGAATCCTCCCTCCACCTTATCCAGGAAAGGATGCAGAACATTTTTTTGCATCCACTCTGTGATGACTCCAGTTGCAGGTTTGCTGCAGCTGGCCTGGCCCGGCCCCTGTGTTTGGACTGTGTAGTTGTGGACCTACAAATTACACCCAGGGCCTGCATTCCCTTTTCATTGGGCTTTCTGCAGCCTACCAAGGAGTGCTGCTCTGTGGTGTGCAATTCTAGGTATAGTTTTGCTCTGCCCTGTTTCTCTCTGCGTAGTAAAACCACACCTGTTCTGCAGAATACAGGGCCTCCCCATGTCCTTTTTAGGATTTGCCAGGAGGATTTGCTTCTTAATTTAAAAGGCCCGGAGGCTGATCAGGATGCCAGTACAGGCAGTTCCCGGGTTACGTACAAGATAGGGACTGTAGGTTTGTTCTTAAGTTGAATTTGTATGTAAGTCGGAACTGGTACATATTGTAGGGGAAACTCTAGCCAAACATTTCTCCAGAGCTCAGTTTTATTCTCCCACACCTCACTACCCTCAGTCCTTTATTCTCAAGCTGAGGTGACTGCTGAGAAAAGCTGCTCCTCATCTCCCTGGTCTGCTGGAGGGGGGTACTAGCTTCGCGTTTCCCTGGTCTGCTGGGGGGAAGCAGCTAGTGCGGGGTTGCCTCACCCCGTTTGTAAGTAGGGATCCGATGTAAGTCGGATCCATGTAACCCGGGGACTGCCTGTATAACATTATTCCCAATAGCACAGTATTTCTACAGATACTAGGGATGTTAAATATCCTATAATAGGGTAACTGTATAACCGCTGAAATTTTCTCAGGAGGTAGAGTGTAACAGACACTATTAGCCAATTTGCATCTGCTGATCAGTTAAATGGTTAGTCATGTGCACTCTAACATCCCTAACAGATACAGCAATGATTTTTTTCCATATTTGGTAAAAACCCTGTGATTTAATCCCTACGGTGGTACAGGCCCAAGGAAAATATAGTCCAATATCAGTTACCTATGAAAAACATGTAGCAAGCATACATCACCAGCTCTCAGATTTTAGTTATAGTTTTCTGTACTTAAATGCTGTAAAAGAGCCATGATTTACAGAGGCTGAAATAAAAAATGTGAAAGGACTCGAACAATCACAAAACTGGCCTTCATGTGCAAATTTGACACATCTCTTGGATGGACTGTTATAGTCAACACCCAAATGACATCAAAAGCTAAGTATCAACCAGCCTATTAGTTTCATTTAGCATGGACACTTTCATTGACTGGGTTTTTTCCCTCATCCCCCTCACCCTTCTTTTTCTGCTTTATATTTGACCCTCTGCACAACTTAGAGGGAACCTTGCCAGCCTAGAGCCCTCCAAATCCGCAGATATCCGCTTTATATCTACGGCTGTCAGCATCTGCAGATGTGGAAATCCCTGGCTCATTTTTGCAGATGCAGATACAAATGTATCTAGGGCAAGTTTTACTATTCTGAGGTCCAAGCCAGGACCACAGGAGATATTAAATCTTTGAGGATGCTGGTGGGCTAGAGAAGAGGAGATTGAATGGGTTGTTAGCAGCTGCCTGGAAGAGACACTGACAGAGACACAGGGGCTACGTCTAGACTGGCATGATTTTCCGGAAATGCTTTTAACGGAAAAGCTTTCCGTTAAAAGCATTTTTGGAACAGAGCGTCTAGATTGGCATGGATGCTTTTCCGCAAAAGCACTTTTTGCGGAAAAGCGTCCGGGGCCAATCTAGACGTGCTTTTCCACAAAAAAGCCCCGATCGCTGTTTTCGCAATTGGGGCTTTTTTGCGGAAAACAAATCTGAACTGTCTACACTGGCCCTTTTGCGCAAAAGGGCCTTTTGCCCAAATGGGAGCAGGATAGTATTTCCACAAAAAGCACTGATTTCTTACAGTAGGAAGTCAGTGCTTTTGCGGAAATTCAAGCAGCCAGTGTAGACAGCTGGCAAGTTTTTCCGGAAAAGCGGCTGATTTTCCTGAAAAGCTGGCCAGTCTAGACACAGCCCGGGAGGAAAGGAAGGAAGCAGAGAAGGAATGCTGCAGGACAATCTGCTTCTGCCAGCCCAGAGATGGAGATAACTGGGCTGAACGGAATGGAACTTATGCGTGCAAGGAAAAAGTAAGGTTTTGGTAAGGAGAAGTATATGTGTAGGTCTTACATTTGTTTTAACCTTTTGTTCTTTCTGCCATTTTCCTTTGGATGGCTGAATAGTTCTTTGTTTTGAAGAAATTGATTTTGGATCACTTTAATCATCTGTTGTCCCAGGCTGCCCAATGAAGAGGGCTTACAGGTGTCAAACACCTTTGGGGTTGTTGGGTTAACTTGATGCCCAGTGACCCAGTCAAAGAGAGTTTGTACTATGTGGTTCCATCCAGAGGAGAGTGGAGATCCAAGATGTGCCCTAGAGAAATGCACTCATCAAGAGGGGTTAGACAGAGTCTAAAGCACAGCTCTCCTCATCAACATGACAGTGACTTTTTGGTTTACCTTGTGCAGGGACTTTTAAAATGTATTTACTTTTTTATTCTTGTGTTCTTTGCTTTTTAATAGTTTGTTGCTTTTTTGTCTTGTATTTCTCATACAAACTTAGTATGGAGAGTGTTTGCATATAAGGGAAGAGGGTTGGCCTAACAATTACAGCAGAAATTAGATTTGATGGTGTTAAACCAAGGAAAAAAATCAATGTCACCCCTTTGATTGACTTCAATGGGGGTGTAACGTTTTGCCCCGTCCAAAAGGAAATTCGTAACGTTTTGCCCCGTCCAAAGGAGAATTTGTAACGTTTTGCCCCGTCCAAAGGGGACCTATCTCCGGTTACCGACTGGGGCGGAGGGGGACCTGGGCCCACCCCCTCTCCAGGTCTCAGCCCAGGACCCTAAGGGTGGGTGTCCAAAACGCACCACTCAATGGGGGTGTAACGTTTTGCCCCGTCCAAAAGGAAATTCGTAACGTTTTGCCCCGTCCAAAGGAGAATTTGTAACGTTTTGCCCCGTCCAAAGGGGACCTATCTCCGGTTACCGACTGGGGCGGAGGGGGACCTGGGCCCACCCCCTCTCCAGGTCTCAGCCCAGGACCCTAAGGGTGGGTGTCCAAAACGCACCACCCGACTGCTGGTCCCGCAGAGTTCCCTGACGGCTGCGCCTGCCGCCACGCTGCTCGGCGTGGTCTCCGCCTCTCCTCCCCCTGAGCTCACGGCCGTTCGGCTTTTGAACCCGGCGCCCGTGGCCAGGGATGCCGGCGCATGCGCCTTGGGATGTTGGGTCCTCCCCGGAGTCATGTGCAGGGGAGGCTCCCGTGCCTGCGCCAGCCATCGCCACCAAGCAGGCTCGGCAGAGCCGCTCCGGCTTCCTGGCGGCTGCGCCCCACGGCGCCCAAGTGCAGGGCGCAGGGTTAGGGCACGCGATCCCCGCCGCCCTGTCACAGGGATATTACTAAAGATTTGGGAGATCAAAAACTCTAGACCTGATTCCTAGGTTTGAATCTCAATTCTGTCACTGACTTGAGCCAAATCTGATTTCTCTGACCCTGAGTTTCTTCACCTATAAAGGAGATGATGGCATTTGCCTACTTGTGGGGGCTTGAGGAGGAATACTACCAATGTAACATTTGGTCAATTTTTTAAAAAATTGACCAAAAAGAAGCATTTTAAGGGTTAACACCTGTTTTGGGGTCTCCCTGCCATTTTTTTTGTAGCTTTACAGCTACAGATTCTTATATTTTTAAAATATTTTTCTCTCCTCCTTTGCTATATGTAAAAGAAGGTCATACACAGGAAAAGGGTAAACTGACCATGGGGGAGGGGGAAGACAATGAATTTGGGGGGGGGAGAAAGTTGGGGAGA